TTATTTTGTTGAATATATTACGCATTCCCTTCGCTTGCACCTCTTCTCCTTCTTCGATGCCCATGATTCTCAAGTTTGGTCTTTTGATGGAGTCAGTGAGTTCTTGCATTTTCTTTTCACAGGTCTTGAGTTGTTTAATTAATAGTTCTTCAGTTTTTCCTTTAATTACCATTTCATCTTCAAGTTCTGAGATTCTGTCTTCTGTTTGTTCTATTCTGCTGGATTGGCCTTCCGTTTTGTTTTGCAGTTCTGTTTCGTTCTTTTTTCTGAGGTTTTCCATATCCTGGCTGTTTTCTTCTTTATTGTTGTCTATTTTTGTCCTGAGTTCATTTATCCATTTATTCATTGTGTTCTCTCTTTCACTTTGGTGTTTATACAGTGCTTCTATGGTTTCCTTTATTTCTTCTTTTGCTTTTTCAAATTCTCTATTTTTATTGTCTTGGAATTTCTTGAGTGTCTCCTGTACATTTTGGTTGACCCTATCCAGTATCATCTCTATAAAATTCTCATTGAGTACTTGTAGTATGTCTTCTTTTAAATTATTCTTGTGGGCTTCATTGGGTCCTTTGGCATAGTTTATCTTCATTTTGTTGGAGTCTGGATCTGAGTTTCTGTTCTCTTCATTCCCCTCTGGTTCCTGTACTAATTTTTTGCTGTGGGGAAACTGGTTTCCTGTTTTTTCTGTCTTCCTGTCATTGTCCTTGGTGTTGTTACTGTCCCTGTACTGTGTGTAATTAAGTATTTTCTAGCTTGTAATAATAACAATGGTAATATTGAGAATGGAAGAGTGAGCTGAGATGGAAAGCAAGAAGTTAAAGAAAAGGGGAAAACAAATATACAGACAAGAGGGAGAAAGCAGAACAAGGTATCAGACAAGAGAGTTTCAAAGGTATAAACAGGGAGTGTTAGTGTACTAATCGACAGTAAGCTGAACAGACAATAGAGAGACAGAGAGAGGATTGAAAATCAAAGATAAAAAAATAAAAAATAAGTATATGAAAGTAATATCTATTTATAAAAATGAATTAAAATAAAATGGAAAATAGAAAATTAAAAAAAAAAAAAAACCAAAAAAACTTCCAAGTTTATATGCAATGCAATTTCAGTCTTAATAATTTGGATGTCCGTCTCAATCTCCAGTCCTGGAGTTGGTGCCTCAGATGTTGTTCTGTAGTTGTCTCATCAAAGGGGATGCATAAAGTAGAACAAAACTACACTCACACACACACAGAAGAAAAAAAAAAAAAAAAAGCCCCACCAAGTGTCCCCAGTTCAAATGCAATACAGTTTCAGTAAGTTTTTCGGCTTGCAGGTGTAATTCGGTTGTTCTCTCATCAAAGGTAGGGAGAAAAAGAAAAAAAAGCGTCTGGAGGCAGTTCTGAGAGTGGTATCTGCAACTGTGGCTTGCCTGCCTGCTGCTCTCAGCCTGTAGCTGGCGGCGTTATTTATGCAGATCTCTGGGGTGAGCTTAGCACTCACCTGGTCCCACAGGCTTTGTTTGCTCAGAGTTCTCCTGTGCGGGGAGGGGGGCCTCTGCTACAGGCTTTTCCCTTTCCAAGCACTGGGAAAGGCGACACTGCCCCGCGTTGTCAGGCCTGCGTGTTTATTTACAGTTCACGTGGGAAGTGGGTCTTCCCTCCTCTCACAAGCGTCCCCGCTCCTGGTTGCTGGCGCGCCCCGCTCCCGCCAGAGCCTCTCCGGCCCGCCCGGCTCGTTTATTTACAGTCCCGGGAAGGATTCCCTTCCCCCAATCTTCAGCGCTCAGGGCGCCCCACCCTCTTTCCAGCGTGTCTTAACTGTTCTTATTGCTTAGTACTCAGTTTCTCTTTTTTTCCCGGGTGGAGGTCAGTCTGTCCAGGGGGCTATGCTGCTCTGGCCCAGGCTTGTCTGTGGGGGAACCGCGGTACCGCGAAGCTCACCTGGTCCGCGTCTTCCCAAGCCGTATGGGCGCCGGCCACTGGCGGCCCGGGGGCCTCCTCGGTTCTCCGTTTAACGTGAAGTGGAGATTCTCTGCGCCGGCTGGAGGTGTGGAGGGGTCAAAGTTATGCCTTTTCTCAGTGATTATGCCTGCAAAGTGTGTCTCCAGCGTCTCTCCAAGATTTCACTATAGGAGGCTCGCTTTCTGCTTCCTACCTCTAGCCGCCATCTTGGAATTCTCAAGACAGCTACTATTAAAGCAAGTGCTTTGAGTATCTAAGGAGCCTTCCCTTTAAAGGAACCATAAAAATAAAATTCTCCCTGTGAAGGACAACTGGTTTGAACAGTGCCATGGTCTGAATGACTGTGCTGCACTTCATTCATATGCTGAAACTTAATCCCCAGACTTGTGGTTTTGAGGTGGAGCCTTTGGGAAGTATTTACCTCTTGAGGGCTCCACCCTGGTGAGCAGTACCAGAGCTTGTCCTGGTCCATTTTCTGTTGCTATAACTGAATGCCACAGGTTGGGTAATGTATAAAGTATAAAGGTCCATTTGGCTCCTGGTTCTGAAGTCTGGGAAATTCAAGATTGGGTTGGGCGGTCGCATGTGGTGAGGTCTTCCTGGCCGGTGGAGACTGCAGAGTCCTGAGGCCATGTGGGGCATCACCATACCAGGCAAAGCACTTAGCTCAGGTCTTTCCCTCCTCTTCTTACAATCTCAGACCCATTGGAGCAGGGACCCACCTTATGGCTGTAGTTAACCTTGATTACTTCTCAACAGTCCTAGCTCCGAAGACTGCCTCACATTGGGGATTAAATTTCAACATGATTTTTGGTGGGACGTTGAACTATAACAGTGCCTTTTAAGAAGAGGTCTGAAGAAACTTGTTTATTCCTTAGCTAGAAGGCGCCATTTATGAAGCACAGATACTCAATCTGCTCTTGCCTTGATTTTGGACATTCCAGCCTCCATAATTGTGAACACTAGGTTTCCATGGTTTATAGATTACTCAGTGTACAGTACTTTCTTATAGTAACCTGAACAGACTAGACAAGAGGGGGATGTTCACAACAACACAAGCTTGTATACATGTGGTTGTGTGTGTGTGTGTGTGTGTGTGTGTGTGTGTGTGTGTTACAATCTCCAGTTAACACTACACTGATGGATGTCTAAAAATAAACTGGAGAAAAGACCAAGGGACTGAGTAGGTAAAGACATCTATAATAGTGAAAAATTCATGTTCGTAATCTTTCCTACAAGGAAAACAACAGGTCTTTTCTTTGTAGAAGTAGCTCTAACCATTTGTTTCCAAATAGCACCTTAGCCACAGATTCACTTGAATTCAACATTTCTGAAGGTCTTCCTTATCTTTCTACATTATAATAGCTTTTAAATTCTCCTTTATTGTATTTATTTATTTTTGGTGGCACTGGGGTTTGAACTCAGGGCCTTGTGCTTGGTAGGCATGGGCTTTACTGCTTGAGCCACACCTCCAGCTACACTGTAATTTTTAGTGACTCCTCTCTTAGTGGCCCAAACACTTGTCTAGTTGTACATGTCAGGTGCCTTTTTGACACTCATCACTTACCTCTCGTTACAGGTACAGCTTGTGTCTTCTTCATCTCATCGGCTAGATGGTCCTCAAATTTAAACCACTTGCTTCCAGCACTGTTACCACTCCCCTAAACTTAGCCTCTCTGTTCACCATGGACTTCTGTCTTCTTGTATCCACTTTTACTGCCTTGCAGTCCATTCTTTTCAAAGGTGAATCAGATCATTTTGTTCGCCCCCTAAAATCCTTTAGTGGCTCTTCTTTCAGGATGAAGACAGAAATCTTTAACAATGTCTCCTAGACACTGTCCCTGCCTAACTCTATCCTCAAGCCACACAGATGGCTAGGATCTGTTGAATCTCAGACTTGGACCTTTATCCAACATCAAGTATCCCTTCCTCTTTGCTTATATTTTGTTTAAACTCTCTCATACACTCCAAAGCCTCTCTCTCTCCCTCTCTCTCACCTAACTTCATTTTTAAGGGCATAATTCATTACCATGATATTAAGACATTTCAATAGGCAGGAATTTGTCTCTAAAAATAATGTTTCCTATCTTTCTCTTTATATATGTATATGTGTTTTGAGTATTTTGTTTGTATGTACTTAGTATTATGTAATTAAAAGCAATGTAATTGCTGAGGCTCATGCCTGTAATTCCAGCTATTCAGGAGACAGAGATCAGGAAGATCATAGTTTGAGGCCAGCCCAGGCAAAAAATTCTTGAGACCCCCATCTCAAGCAATAAAACATTGCTGTGGTGGTGCGCCCTTCATCCCAGGTGCAAGGAAGCATAAAGAAGACGGTGGGCACAAATGCAAGATGCTCAAAAATAATCAAATCAAAAAGGGCTGGAGGCATGGCTCAGGTGGTGGAAAGCCTTCCTGGAAAGCCCAAGGCCCTGCATTCAGACCCTGGTAGTATCCAAACGACAAACAGGAAGGCTTTACAAAATCAATCACAGAGAAATAATTCGCTCACTCTCTTTTCTCAGTATTAGACTTCCTTTTTGTTTGTTTGTTGGTTTTCCTTCCTTCTTTTTGAATGTTTGTTTGTTTGTTTGTTTGTTTTATTTTTTTAGGCACAGGGTCTTGCTCTGTTGCCCAGACTATCCTGAGCTTCAGGGCACAGGCAGTGACAGGGACTACAAGTGTTCACACCATGCCCAGCTAGATGCTCTTTCCTGTAACTGTTCTATGACTTTTGATTTCAAGCCTCCTTCTGTGGTCTTCTCTAGGCTTGGGTCTAGCTCTCTGAGCTGTCTGTCTTGTTCAATTCTGTGAAAGACTCCTGAAAATATTTGTCAATACTTTTTAACATAGATGAAATGGGCATGGCATCTCACTCTCTTGAATATAGAAACAAACTGCAAATCAGTGGTGATTTTCACGAAGTCCTTCTGTCTCCTTTCTGTTAACCAATGAGTCAGTTTACCAAGGTTGCATTTGAACCTGCGACTTCAGCTCTAGCATGATCTCTTTCAGCTCTCACACTGGGAACCCTGAGTTCTCAGTGGAACGTATTCTTACCTCACAGAGCCATCGATGGAGGCAGTAAGCACTATTTGCTTTTCTTCCACATACACCACCTGAACGATTTCTAAAGAATGAGCACGCCAGGAGAGCAGCTGCTTGAATTTCTGGAAATCAACAATAAGACAAGTGCCTTTGGATACATCAAGAAGTATAATCTTAAGCAAAGTTATTTCTGATTAGAGAGCCATGTTTAGGAGCGGATAGACAGCTGTGCTAGGTGATTAAGTCACTGCTCCAACTGGCTCTCCTCTTGCTGCCTGAGGTACCAAAAGTCCCAAATTTAGAGACTGATTAATCTGCTCATATTCCTGAGAGGGGATGCATCTTATGACTCCAGCAATTTCTCATGGAATTGAGGATTAGCGCTCATTTAGCTGATGGTTGGTAGATGACTAGATGGAGGAGCCGCCTTAGGAGATTTTGTGGGAAACTGAGGGTAAAGATAATAACAAATGGGGGGAACAGAGCTGAGAGGCGAAGGCCCAGAAGGAGATTATTGGCAATAATACTTTTTAAAATGGTATTTAGAATTAAATTCAGGGCCTCATGCTTGTGAGGCAAGCGCTCTACTGCTTGAGCCACACCTCTAGCCCTTTAGCTCGCTTGTTAGATAAAGTCTCACAGTAAGTTTTTGCCTGGCTTGGACTTGAACCAAGATCCTCTGGTCTTTGCCTGCCAAGTAGCTGGCAAGACTTTTCTTTTTTTATTGCTGTGCTGGGTGGGGGTACATTGCGGCATTTACAAAAGTTCTTACAATATATCAAATATATCATACCTGAATTCACCCCCTCCACCATTCTCCTTTATTCCTCCCTTCCCCCATTTCTGGAATACTTTCAACGGGTATCATTTTTCCATTTACATATATGAGTACACATTATTTGCACTAATGTTTGATGACTGACCCTTAAATTAGCTTTTTATAGCACATAATAACCCCAGAAGCAGCTGCTGACCCACCCATTTTATCTAGAGAAAGACCTGGCTAGTTTGTTCATTGGATGGGATGTAGGGTAGGAATTCCCAAAAATAATTGATCCAGCTTGTTCTCCTTCAAAAAGATCATTGGGGTCAATTGTTAGGTTCCTTCAGGTTTATCCTCAAATTGGGAGTCCTCAGTGGGCCTCAGCACACACCTCTACGTCATGCAAACTAGGGTTACTAATCTGGAATCTTGCTCCGCATTGGTGTCCCTTTGAGCATGTTCCCCTCTCTCGTGGATGAGTACACTAAGACCATACGTCTTTCTGGGTCATCTTCCTGGTCATTTGTGTGACCAAAGTCCTGGCAGTTTGGAGCTCTTCTATGAGTCTTCTATTCATTTAGACTTTAATAAAGTTTAGGCATGGCTGGGCACCGGTGGCTCACACCTGTAATCCTGGCTACCCAGGAAGCAGACATTAGGAGGTAAATTCCTCTTAAATTTTTTGTCTCTGACTTAGTTTCCTTTTGGCTGTTCTTAGAGAGCCAGGGTAGAATCTGCATTCTCCTACATATGTTTCAAAGCCATTCAAGAATATCTGGTCATCTAAAATCTCTCTCTCTCTCTCTCTCTCTCTCTCTACCTCTCTCTCTGTGTATTTCTTTCTTAGTTCTGGGGATTGAAGTCAGCGTTTGCACATGCTAGGCAAGCACTTTACCAGTGAACTATACCTCAGATAGGATGGTATTCTCTGAATTAAATGTTTTTGTCATGTAGCTCAAATTACAATGGTGTATTTGCCTTAAAAGTGGAGACATTTATATTTCTATCTTCCTGATATCTAGTCCAGAGAAATTCTCAATAAATAAGCACTGACCCATTTATTGACATGGAAAGGTAAAGTTCATACCTTTTCATCATGAGGTGGATCCAGAAAGGAACCGATACTGCAGAGGACAACGTGTCCTTCTGTGTAAAATTTAAACATCAAAATTCTTAATCATATACCACACTGTCTAAACAAATACTACCGAGAGTGCCAAGTCTTCTTTTTTTGATGCCATTTTTATCAGGCATATATATATATTCACATTCTATTCTCTCTCTCTCTCTCTATATATATATATATATTCTATTCCATTCAATAGAACTTGTTATGTAGCCCAAACTGCCCTCAAACTCAAAATCCTATCCTCCTGAGTGTTAAGATTACATGTCTGTACATAAGTCTTTATACACAGCTATTATTTTATTTCTGGGTTAGTAAGTCATAATGATGTTGTTTTATTCACTCAGTCAAAGTTTTTTTTTCTAGAGCTCAGGGTGGATACTAATAAACCAAATTGTGTCCAGTTACAGAGATAGTCATCCTATAATTCAAGGACAGTTACAAAAACCAGATATAAAAAAGCAACAACTATAACTAGACATATCATGACATAGCACGAAAACAAAGATAAAGGAAGTGTCAAAAAAGCAGATGGGGAAAAAATGTCAAGGTAAGAATAACATGAAACTAAGGAATCATGCTAGTAAGAGAATAAGTGGAGCAAAATATTTAACGTGTTGTGGGAATAAAAGACACCAGCATAGAATTCTGTGCTCTGAGAAATTATCTTTCAAAACTAAAGAAGAAATACTTCCTAACATCAACAAGAACTGAAGGAATTTGTCACTAGTAGGTTTACTTTGCAAGAAATGTTAAAAGAAGTTCTTCAGAGAGAAGGAGAATGATATAGGTCAGACACAGATCTACATAAAGAAAGTAAGAAGAGTGACAATGAATAACTTAAGGTAAAATAAAAACATCTCTTTTTCTTCATTAGTCTAACACAGAGCAGTTTCTACAAAACAATAATAGCAATAATGTTCTTACAATTATAACTTATGAATGACTGACATGAACAAAAGCAATTATTCAAGTATTATAAAGCACACTATCAATGAAATGATATAGTGTTATTTGAAAATGGACATGGGACAATTATAAATATATAAACTCTAGGCCAACAATTAAAAAATTTTTTTAATAAGAAGCATGACTAATAACACTAAGAAAGGAAAAAAAAATGGAATTATACAAAATACTCAATTAAAATCAAGAAAATGCAGAAAAAGAGTGGAAGATAAAAATAAGAACAAAAGCAACAAACTGAAAATAGTAACAAATATAGTAGATATTAATCCAAGTATGTCAATAATCATTTTAGATATGTATAGTCTAAACATACCTAATTAAAAGGGAAAATGCTGTTTCATTCTAATTCTAACAAATTAACTGTTTTGAAAAACATAAAGGGAAACAGTAGTCCAGCTGAAACTGTTTTACACATATATGAGTGTTCACACACATTATCTTTCAAAGTATGGGAGAGAAGATTGATTCAAAAGGCAGAAGAGGAGAAATAGGAAATAAAAATGAAAAGAAGCACTAGTATTTGACGGAAGAATTTAAGTCCAACTACATTAATTCTACCAGATATAAAATAAGGTTCCCCCTTGAGGAACAATAACCCATTTCTTTCTACTGTATATCTCTACTTCCTTTCATAATGAAGGTTAATGTAATCTAAGCCTTTCGTTTTAAAAATTAAAACATTATATAATTCCCAATATGAAGAAACAGCATGCCTTGCTTTAAGTAAAGACCTAGAATAAGATCGGTTCTCCTGATGTTCATTCACTCTTCCGTCTGTCCAGCAGCTATCCCAACTATCTCAGACCTGAGTATAATTCTTAGACTTTCTTTTGTCCTATTACATGTCATGTACTGTTCCTATAGCCATTTTTATATCCTGTCAGTTGTTAAGGTGCCTGTTGGTGAACACGTAAGTAATCCCTTACCCATGTTTCCAGCCAGCAGTATCCTGCAACATGAATCAGTATTCAGGGACTTCAGAGAAATGGCAGAATGCTTCGTGAAGGGTAGCAAGTCTTTCAGTAATTTCCCCTGTATAAAGAACAAGGTGAATATAGCTTCTTCCATGATAATAAATTCTATAAAACATTAATGTTGAAGCTGAATTTCAATTTATACACCTCCAGAATTCTCTGTTATAAAAATATGATTCCCTTTGTAATAAAAATCATCTAAAACTATCCATAGAGACTTATTTCTTTGAAACTAAATACTCTACAGGTGCAGACAGCCAAGCATGGAGACTCTACTACATATAGTGTCTACAACTGGGGCCGTCCATGACTCTTTTCATGAAATTCCTCAGGTGGTATTTCCAAATACATATTCTCCTTTTAAATAAACATTCTTTTCTGGTTTAAGTGTATCATCATTGCTTTCACCAGGAATATTTGCTATTTTTTAGAAGTATCTACTTTTAAATATTGGTGCAAGATAAGGGATTGTAAGAGATTCAAATCCAAACAATTTTTTTCCAGCATTTAGTATAAGCTAGCAGTGGGGATATTAAACATGTCACCTGCTGCTTGCTTCCTGAGACTTTACTTGGGTGTAATCTCCTGTTTCTCTCAGTCTTTTATTTGTCATGGACAAAAATAAAGGCACTGCTCTAACACCAAGAGCATCTCAGAAATAGCTTGTATTTTCAAACCAGAGACATCACTACTAGACTAGCATCTACAGATAGACTTTGAGCTGGCCTGGGACACAGTCCTGTTTTTCTGTTTTGTTGGATCCATTTTCTGTCACAAAACACTGGTGTTATTTCCTGGGTTCTCCAGTAGAAAAGAGTCTTATCACAAGTAGGACACCTCCCTGCCTCCTACCCAAACTCCTCACGGTCCTTCTTCCATCATCTTCTGTCCTCTTCATTTTCTTCTTAATTTAGGATGTATACCCCTCCATCCAAAATCTTGTAAAATCTTCTGGTGAACTAAAATTATTATTATTTCATGGTAAAATGCTTAAGGGCATTCAAAATGATGTGATACCATCTTCCAAGAGTTCGGCTCACTACAAATTTGTTGTATACTCAACATTTCAGTGTTCTTTTACTATAACTCATTACTAATATCCCTGATTATGATTTAAGTATCCAAACAGAATATTTATTTATTTATTTATTATTGTTTTATTATTCATATGTGCATACAATGCTTGGGTCATTTCTCCTCCCTGCCCCCACCCCGTCCCTTACCACCCACTCCGTCCCCTCCCTCTCCCCCCACCCCCTCAATACCCGGCAGAAACTATTTTGCCCTTATCTCTAATTTTGTTGAGGAGAGACAAACAGACTATTTAATGGCATTTATTCATACTCAGCTTAAAAGAAAGACTTGAAACATTTTGGATGATTTGTTCTTTTGAGTTACTAAAGTGACCTACTGTGAAGCACGCTCAACAAGCAGGCTGCAGACTGCCTATTTGGCTGGAGGGTTGAAAAATGTGAGAATTGGATGCCATATGGACAAAGACAAAGATTCATCCAATTATCTTCTTTCTCATCCCATCCATTTCATTCCCACGAAATACCAAGCCCCATTACCTCCATCGTCCACAGGCGGAGGTGTCCGTCCTCGTGCGCAGTGACTAGGATAGGAGGCTGAGGTTCTGTCACATTAGGAACTAAAAGATGTTTTTTGCCTGCTGGCTGTTGCTCTCCCACGGTATCGGCTTGATCGCCTATGGGGACATTAATAAGCTATCATGTTATTTGTAATACTTGGAATGCTAGATTTTGTGTAATCTATGTAAAAGAACGTAAAAGGGAAAGTAGACAGGAAAAGAGTAAAACAACACATGTTTTTCTCCAGAGTTTTTTTTAACTCAAAAAAATTTCACAAAATGCAGAACAAAGAAGTATTAAAAATGGAATCCTGGAACACTGGAAAATCTAAGAGGCTTATTTTTGGTCCCATTGCTAAAGCTTCTAGATGCTGCTCCTGACAGCTAAAAATGAGTTCTTCCTCTAGCATGCCTACACGTCCCGAATGGCTTATAAATCTGTATGAATTGTAGGAAGATGGGCTGGAGATTAACAAGCTCAGTAATATTTTGGACTTTAAATACCTAGAATTAGTATTTTAAAAAGCATCATCATGCCTTTAAGACTACCAGATCCCATAACACCTCAACATTTGGTCACAATAAGAACATACATTCATCAAAGTATTTTATCATATAAAGTCCCTTTTGTAAAGAAGTTGTCTGGATTCAGGTGTAGAATTCATATGTAGAATTCAGGTGTAGAAGCTCAGTGGTAGAGCACATGCTTAGCATGTATGAGGCCTTAGGTTCGAGCCCCAGCACTGCAAAAATAAAGAAAAGAAGGAACTGCTTTATTCTAAAGAAGAGATATGATACTGACCTTTCACCTCACTGTCATGTATGCTTTGCTTGCTTCCCTAGATGAAAGGAGAAGGGAGAGAAAATGTACCTATGACATTGTAAGGAAATGAGACATACAGGATGTCTAGGTTCTCTGGGTAGCTAAATGTGCATTCCTAAGCACTAACTTTAAAATTATTTTAAAAGTAGTTCTTTGAGAAATATATTTCAGAGGATTTTCGTGTTCTTTAACATGGAATGCATAACCCACCATTTTCCTAGTAGCTCAAGAATGCACAGTGAAAGCAGAAATTATACACCCACTGCACACCCAGTTCTTGGTGTACGTGATGTCCAATCCTGTTGGTAACATACAACTAAGTCTTCATTACTCTCTTTTTACTGATGAGGAAATAGAAACTCAGACTGAGTGATAGTGCTAGATGCAGGACCTGGACAGAAGTACATATCTTTGTCTAGCTTACAGATCCCTCATACAAGCTTATTCTTTCCAGCATGCTGGTTGTTTTAAAATAATTTTTGCTGTGAAAACTTTCCTTCAAGCAAAATCCTAATTAGAAATACAAGAGGTGAAAATGTGTAATATTGGAGCTAAGAACATAGTTTGAAAACAACTGTATTATAGTATGTGTTGCAATATAATTACATTATCCTATCTTTCTCCCTGTGAAATATAACAGCTTTTAGCAAAAAAAGTTAAACTTTTTTAGACTAGAGATAGTCTAAAGTTACTTTATTATTTTATGGTGTAAAATAAAAATTCATATTTTATTTTTATTAATGCTCATGTATTAATTATTCAAAGACATGAATGCCTTGAAAAATAGAAACAAAATGAAAAAAACGCTGCAGACATTGATTTTCAGGGAAACACACATTTCTCCTTTACTTTCCACCAGAGGAGGGGCTCAGATGCTCAAGATCACTATTTTTGAACTATTAAGTGTTACAGGAAGGCACATTATTTTTTGCCTACCTTGCTACTCTGTGCACCCTTGCTAGAATCACATTGGGTTGAAGAACATATGGAATCTTGACTTGATCTCCTAGAAGGGGAGGGAAGAAACCCAAGGATGGAAAGTTAAGATATTCTATCATACTTAAAGAGTGTTCTTTTCTGCTTTAATTTCAGTTGATTGCTTCTTTCATCATCTAAGAATACCAGGCCACCCACTTATGAAACTAATCACACCTTATACTTTGTGTAACATATGTTCATTAGCATGGTTTGATGGGAGACAACTAGGGAGCTTGAACAATTAAAGGGTACCGCTGCCTGGGTCTGGGAAATGCAAATCTAGCCTGGCCCATTGCCAAAACTAGATTGAGTCAGTCACCAAAATGGCAGGAAGTAGGTGTGGCTAACTTCCTGCATTATTGTACCTTGTTCTGGCCTGATCCTGTGTCTATCATGGTTTTCTGAAAAGGGTTAAAAAGTGACTTAGGGTACTGGTGCAGATATACCTAGTATTAAGTTCTTAAAATATTCTCCAAATAGTTTCAATGAAATGTCAAGCAAGAGGTAGGAAAGATGTTACACTCTTGCTCACGGGTAGGTAACCCCAGACTAGCACAGAAACTTATTTTTTTGTTTACTTTTTAATTTTATTTTATTGTTTTTACATTTACATACAAGTGTATACATTATTTGGGCCACCCCCCACTTCCTGATCTGCCCTCTTGTTCTCCGATTTTGTTAAAGAGAAGACATGAGATAATTTTAAAAAGATAGAGTTTTTGCTAGTTTAAGATAAAAATAGCTATACAGAGAGATTCCATGCACATGTGTGTTACAAGCCACATTGGTTCATCACTCCCAGACCTCTTCACTACTTCCCGTTCCCCTTCCCATAGTGGCCTCTGCCAGCTTAAGATTACTTTATTTGCTCCTCTACTGTGAGCAAATCAACCACATTCAAGTTTTAGGTTTCCTTTCCTTTCCCTATTCCTCCTGTGTGTGTTCTCCCCTTAGTGTGACCAATGTCCAATAATATTACTGTATTTGTTAGCACAGAAACTTTTGATTTCTCTCCAGAAAGGTGTTTAACATTGCCTAGTCCCTAAAAACAAGAGTTCTAAAGCAAATATAAATAGGAAAAATACCATTTGTCAAATATTTAACAAATAACCTCTTGCTGTCTCAGGAGTAGAGGGAAATTGCTCAGCTGTATTACATGGAGTAAGAAATCTACAATATGATCTTCCAACTTTTCCCTCCAAGGCTTACCTTTTGCTTTACAGCAGTTACTAAAAGTGTGGCCACGTGAGCATTTCTCATTTCTGCTACTGTTGAAAAGGGAGCTATAAGGCTGGTATCTAAGGGAATCACACAGTGCTTAGACCCCTGACGACCACCCCAACTACCTAACGACAGTGACAGCAAAGAAAGTTGAAGAAAGTCAGCCTAATTTCTTCTTCTGTTGACCATTCCTCAATGCTGGGACCACAGAAGTCCGGGGAAGTGCTGAGTTACCTTGCACATTCGGGAGGACGGAAGAGGAAGAGTATGTCGTTAATTCTGAAGCGCTTGGGATCCAAGTCAGGGTCCACAGTGAAGCAATCTTCAGGTTGGTACCTTAAAATTAGCATTAATTTACATGAGAAGTTGCACAAGTTAGGTAACTTGCATTCCTTACATCCTGTATTCTACAAACCTAATCAACTCCTAAAATGTTGATATCATTGAACATGAATGGAAGACCTAGAGAAGCAGAGTTTGAATATGTCTAACTTAATAGGGCCCTGTATAGCCACACTGGCCCTTGCTGATACCACCCTGTGGAAAATTGAATGTGTTGGGATAGTGAGAGAGAAGGCAAGGCCTCGTAGAAGGCCTCTTAACAATTCACTTTGGTGACTGAGTAGATGCTGGTGGACTAGGAATGAAGGAGGAGGAGAAGTGTGGGGGCAGGGCAGGTTGGACAAAGTTTTAAGCTTGAAGGCTTGAAGGGTCTAGGGAACAAGCTAGATGGGAATTTCCCATAGACAACTAGATATGTGTGTTTCAAGTTTGGAATATATTAGCATTTGAGATTATAATGTATTTTGAGTACTTGTTGAGGTCATAAACTTGGACAATATCACACATGGAAAGATCACATACTCATGTCAGAACAGTAAAGGTGAAAGCTATTTGTAATACATATATTTAAGGTCTACATCACATACATTATCTTGGAAACTTGACAGTAAGAACATAGTGTCTTCATGAACATAACCTCAAGAAAAGCCTCCCTTCAGAGTCACAACACTTCTTCTTTTTTTTTAGGATTGCATGTTATTTTGACTTTCTACAATAAAACTCTTATATTAAGGCAAAGACACAACTTACACTTCTTTGACAGTAGATGCTAGGAAATTCCATAAGATGATCATGCCATTTGAGGTTCCAGCAACTATCAAATTATACCCTTCTACTTGCAATAAATCAATGCAGCTCACCTCAATACTGATGTCAGGAGTCTAAAAAAAAGAAGGCAACAGACTTACTGACCGGTAGGAACAAGAATGCTATGTGCAAAGATTGTAGTTGTGATGAGCTTAAAAGAAAATGTCTTATTCTAATGTTTTTAAATCACGGAGCATCAAATTCACTAAAATATGTTCTTTCTGGCATTAAAAAGTTTTGACCTGCAAAATTCATTAAAACAACAAAAATAGTGGCTGATGGAGTGGCTCAAGTAGTAGAGCTCCTGCTTAGCAAGCATGGGGACCTGAGTTCAAACAGTCCTGCCAAAAAATCTAAAAATAAAATAACTTTCTACACTGCCTCCTTTCTCTCAGCTTTGGTCACCAATCATTAGATTATCTTCCTATCTTTCTCTTCCCATCAAACATCTTGAAAGAATGTTTTACATTAGCTGTTCCACTCACTGGCTATTCCTTCTCTTGGACACTCTAATTGTCTGGCTCTGCTTCCCAGTTCTCTGGACACCTTTCCTGTTTAACATGAAAAACTTCATGTTAACAGACATTGATACTTTTCAATTCTCTTGCCTTGCATACTTGTTAAGCACCTTAGGTTGTTTGACTACAAAGTTAAGTAGGATGTCTGTGATCTGAGAAATGTGTATTTTAAGGATGCAGATGAAGTGCTGATAACTGAGCAACTTGAAAGTGCTGTTTTGGAGGCATGCATAGGACTAGATAGGACACAGAAGAATGACATTTAAATAAGATCAGAGGTCACTTGCTCCTGCAACTTCATTGTTCTCTCCTTCCTGAAACAACTTGCTCTCTTGACATCAGACTCTCCTGGCTTTGCTTGTGATATGGTTTCTATCTTACATGTCTCCCAAAGGTCCATATGCTAGAGGCCTGGTGGCCAGCCTGTGGTGATATTGGGAGGTGATGGAGCATAAGAGGTAGGGCCTAATGGAAGGAAGTTAGGTAACTAGGAATGTGCCCTTCAAGGGAATATTAGGACCTCAACCCCTTCTTTTCTTCCTCCTCTTCTTCTTCTTCCTCCTCCTCCTCCTCTTCCTCCTTCTTTTCTCAATCTCTTCCCCCATACACCTTGATCTCATTCTTGCCTCTTTCTTTTCCTGGCTGCCATTAAGTAAGCAGTTTCCTCTACCAAACAGTTCCACCATTTTGTCCTACACACCTAAAAGCAATGGGGCCAAGGACCATGGACTGAAACTGTCAGCCAAAATAAAAATTTTCTTCTTTTAAGTCATTTGTCTCAGGTATTTTGTTACAGTGATTGAAAGTGATTCATATAGACTGCGTGTCTATGGTCTTTTGTTTTCTGTTTCCTAACTAGTACCTTCTTACAGTGTTTGCCTTTTCAATACTAATATAATGCTCTCCAGCAAACTTGCTTTTTTCTTTTTTCCAGTTCTTTCTGGGTGATCTCAGTCCCTTGTGTTTTAATAATAGGCCCAATGTTAAATGACCTCATATTCTAGTCTACTCCTTTTTCAAAAGCTTCAGGCTCAAATACTCAATTCCCACTTAGGAATTTTATAGACATTTCAAAGTAAGTATGTCTAACCCATCACCTTCCTTAAGCATGATCCTGGAGTGCCCTTGATTCCTCTCCCAATTGTGTGGCCTCCATCTCTAATTAATCAGTTGCAAGTTCTACTACCATTATTGCCTGGATAGTTCTGAAATCTTCCTCCCCATCTCCACTGTTGTGAACTTACATCTTTCAACTCTAACCATAGACTATGGCCTGAATTTTCTGCTTTTAGTCTTATCCCACTCAAATCTGTCATGTAGGCAGCATGAAGAGTGAACACCACACAATGCAAATTTGATTGCATCATTTGTCATTTAAAGCCTTCTGTGATTTCCCATTCCTTTCTCCTTCTCTTCTTTTCCTTCTCCTCTCTCTCCTCCTTCTCCTCCTTCTTCTTCAGTGGGAGTGGGTGAACTCAGGGCTTCATGCTTGCAAAGCAGGCACTCTACCCCTTGTGCAATACCTCCAGTCCATTTTGCTCTAGTTATTTTGAAGATGGGGATCTCATGAACTATTTGCTCAGGCTGGTCTTAACCCATGATTCTCCTGATCTCGGCCTCCCAAGTAACTAGGATTACAAATGTGAACCATGGGTGTCCATGGTTATAGGAGCCTCAAGATTCTTTCTGTCATGAGCACAATCCAGTCCCCTTTTTTTCCAGATTATACAATCTTACCTCTATAACTTGGATCATACTATGGCCTCCACTTGGGGTTCACTTTGCCATTTCATCACCCTTTAGAAACTCTTATCTGGTCCAGCCGATTCCTAGTAATTCTTTATATCTTCTTCAGGAAACTTCCCTTCCCTGAGCCCTTTAAGATCTCTGCTGTCCTCCCAAAGTGCAGGAATCTTCCTTCATTAATCTTGACATCCCAGTGCTAAAAACATCACATGCTCAGTTACCAAGTACTTATAAGCAAAGACTTTTAGGGAATCTCCAAGTACCATCCATGGTTTTCCCAGGTGACATTTGTATTTCTTTTATAGAGTAATTTAAAGTATGCAGAAAAAAAGAGGTACTATAACACCAGTTATGACAAATACCAAAAATACAATCTCAAAGGCAGTTCCATTGCACGTCAGTAGTTCATTATGTAATTTACTGCTATCATTTTTCATGTTTTGTTACCATGCAGTCCCTTGACAACTGCCTCAGCTCTGCCTCACTATGCATTCGTCTTTCCATTTCCATTGGCCAAAGCAGGGTTCTATACATCAAATGCATATGCTGAACTTAGCATTCCTAATGATGCCTAGACTCAGAGGGAAAAGTAGGCTAGGATTACCCTGTGAAGAGATGCATTTTGTTTTATCTTTTGCACATAACATGTGATAGCATTATTATGACATAGACATTGTACATATTTTCAAAGTCCTTTTAGCTAACAATGAAGCCTATTTATTTAAATTGGCAATGAATGGATTTCAAATTGCTGTGCCAAACTGACATTTGTTTCAATACAAGAATAATAATATTATTTCTCTGTCCTATAATAAAAAGATAGTTTCTAAAAAATCTATAAGACAAGCTATAGTATATTGTACATTATATCACAGTTGTTTTAGTAATGTTAGGGTAAAAAAACTAACACTTTTATTGTTCCTTCTAAAATATGAAATTTTCTTATATTCCTTAGTGTTTGACCCTGTAAAAGCTGAAAATTATAAGATCTTTGAGCTAATAAAAAAGTTTAGGCTTAAAGTTGTGGGTTTTTTTTTTTTTTTTGTGGCACTGAGATTTGAACTCCAGACTTCATGCTTTCTAGCCAGGTGCTCTAATACTTGAGTCACTCCACCAGTCCAGACCTAAAGTTTTATAAGAACTAAAAGAGTAATTTCCTCACTTTCCACAAGCAAGTTCTCCAGACCCTTCACCTCTCACATGTGTATGCCTGCACCTGACTTTATTGAGAAAATGTGAGAACCTCACAGAAACAGCTTTCTGAGAGATTTTAGTTGTTGTTTGATGGTACTGGGGTTTGAACTCAGGGCTTCATGCTTGCGAGGCAGGTGCTTTACTACTTGAACCACTCCACCAACTCAGCTATCTGAGAGATTTTTAACTAAGTTTACTAATTTAGTATATACAGCTATTTCTGAAATATTTTGAAATGTATTTGAACTCTAGTTGATAGTGATTAGCCTTTTGTTGATCACAAACATTTCAAGAATCTTAAGAAAAAGTAATAGTGGCATTCCACTCAGCAGAACAAGGGAGAGGCTAAGAAGACGTATTTCAAACATGTTATGCTAAATGAAAGTAACTATTCAGGATGCCACTTACGTGACATTTAGAAAAACAAATTTATGTTGAAAAAAATTAAAACAGTGGTTGCCTCTAAGGGGAGGTAAGTGTTGACTGGGCACGGGCGTGAAGAATTTCCTGGGGTAATGGTTATGATCTTTATCCTGATAGGACTTGGTTTGTTTATGTCACTCTTCATGTTATTGAATAGCAAAGTGCAATTTTGTGCTTGGGGTGGGGTTGCAGTACTAAAATTTGAGCTTAGGGCCTTGTGCTCACTAGGCAGGAGCTCTATAACTTGAATCACAACCCAGCTCCTACCACCCGCCTTTCTTTTTTCAGGTAGGGTTTCGAGATTTTTGCCCAGGCCTGGACAGTGATTTTCTTACTTAAGCTTTCCAAGTAATTGACAGGACAGGCATGTGCCAGTATACACAACTTTTGACTTGAGATGCAGTCTTGCTAACTTTTGCCCAGGCTGATCCCAAATCACTATCCTTCTGCTCTTTACCTCCTAAATAGGGGGGATTACAGGCATGAGCCACCATATCCAGCCTGTGCATTTTATGTACATTTCACTAAAACAAATCTGTAATCCAATAGTGACCAGTTAGTGATGCATAGGCTGGACTGTTTAGGGATGATGTGTGTCCATGCTTCCAACTTCTTTGGAATTATAGTATAAAAATAAGATTGTGTGGGTAGAGGATGGATAGATGAATAAATATGTGAAGTAAATTTTACAAAATGTTAATGGTTACATTTAAGTGAGCAATATATGTGTGTATTCACTGTATAATTCTTTCAATTTTTATATGCTTGAAAAATTTTATAATAAAATGTGGGGAGAAAAAAGCTATGAACCTTGCATTCCTCGGAAAAGAAGCTTTGCAGTTAATTTCAGAGACTGTTTTTTTAGACTCCCAGATGCCTATTCATGGACAGGGAGCCCATGGATTTCAGAGTGAGGTCTCTGATTTGGTAACTTTTTTTTGAGTCAGAGTTTTGCTATGAAGTGCAGGCTGGTCTAGAACCCTTAGTCCTCCTGTGTCCATCTCCCAACTGCTGAGAATGTAGGTGTGTGCCATCATGCCTGGGCTAGCTCTATAACTTTTGAAGATCTACCATTAAGTACTCACCAGGAGAAATCTCCTCTATCTCCTTTTTCCTGTGTTGTGGAAAATAAGATGGCTTCTTTCAGTCTGCTTATGCTTATGGAATTCAGATAATGTACTGAATAAAAAGCCTGATGATACCCCTTTTTTTTTTAACTCAGGGCTTTCACCTTGAGTCACTCCACCAGCCCTATTTTTGTGATGGGTTTTTTTGAGATAGGGTCTCATGAACTATTTTCCTAGGCTGGCTCTGAACCCTGATCCTCCTGATCTCTGCTTCCTGAGTAGCTAGGATTACAGGCATGAACTAATGGTATCCAGCAGTATCCTTTCTTGATTTATATTTTAAAACAATAAAAACATCAACAATAAAACAGGTGCTTTTATTATTAACCAAATGATGCCTCCAGAGAAAGTTGACAAGCTTACAAAAAATGAAGACTGTGAAAAAGAAAGATGGAGTTTTATTATTGAAAAATCCAGTTAAAAGTACATGACAGAAACATGATAAAACAGGGGCAGGGGTTGTGGCTTGAGTGTTAGAGCACCTGGCTAGGAAGTGTGAGGCCCTGAGTTCAAACCCAGTCACTGTCAAAAAGAAGAAAAAATATGAACTAATAACTGGCCAGAAAAAGTGAGCCATTTTTGTGACCTTCTGATACGGTCCCATACTTATCCTTCTTATTAAAATCTAAGAGAATTAAAAAAGAGATTGATAATTAAAGAGATTGGTATTGATAGAAGGATAGATTGATAAGCTATTTTTTGGATAGATGAATGAATTCCCTATTGAAGCCTAACGATCTACATAGTTCTTGATAACCAGAAAACTTATCTATGTCCACATTCCTCCACGTCAGTATTGACACAGCGAAGAAAGATCCCACACAAAGTGAAAACACTAAGAACAAACCAGAAAAAAATATTTGGAACTTGTATCAGACAGGACTAATATCTCTAATATACGTAATGATTTATTTGTATGTATATATTCCTATTATATAAAAAGTTTTCAAAACATTTCAAGAAAAAGAACAACTTAGAAAAAATAGTCAGAAGATAAAAACAAATGACCCATACATGTATATACTAAAAGGTCCACTCACTATTAATAAAAGAAATGCAACTAATATATCCCAAGTCAGGATTTCTTTTTCATTTGACAATATGCACTGTTGGCTAGTGGAAATGTAGAATTGTGTGACTGCTATGAGAACTTGGTAATATTCTGGAAAATTACACAGAATTTACTTTTTGACAGTAATATCGTTTCTAGGAAAATATTCTGAAGATTTACAGTGAAAACTTTGAACATATATTTAAAAGTTACACATATAAAGGCTGTTTGTTAAATAGCCTCACTCAGAGGACTTGTTGAATAAACCATGGTATATACATTCAAACAAAATACTATAGAGCTTTCAAAACAAAATATGAAATATGAGTACACCCACATTCATACAGCATTATTCTCAATAGTCAAAAGGTGGAAGTAATCCAAGTGCCCGCTGAGAGATGAATCACTAAACAACACGTGGTTTATGCACCCATGCAATAATAGCATTCAGCCTTTAAAAAGAAGGATATTCTGACTCATGTTGCAACATGGATCACCTTGAGGACATTATATGAAGTGAAATAAGCTAGTCACAATTTTGCAAGACTGAAGACTTCTAGAGATGGATGGTGACTGTGGGTGTGCACTGACGTAAATGTACCTAAGCCCCTAACTGTATACTTGAAAATGATTAAGATGGTCAATTTTATGCTAAATATTTTTTACCACACTTTTTAAAATGGAAAGATGAAGATTTCTACAATTTTCTCCAAAAATATTATTAAATGATATAAACAAGGAATATGTAATCTGCATGGTATTCTATCATTTCCTTAAGAAGGGGTGGGAGGGAACAAAGTATGGAGAAGTATTTGATTATAATCTTAGAAACAAATAAAAATCTTAAGAACAAAAGGTTGAGTGTGTAGATTAGGGAGGGAACAAGGGGGCCAGGATAGGAATAGAAGTTAGGAAAGACCTTGTTTCATATCTCAGAATAGAACTTGTTTTGCAGATTTCATTTTGGAACTCTTTAAATGTTTTGCAAAAAAATAAGAAAAATAGTGATGAGTTTTTGTTTTGTTTTGTTTTTTTGTCTGTACTGGGGTTGAACTCGGGGCTAGGCAGGGGCTCTACCACTTGAGCCACTCCGCCAGCCCTTTTTGTGTTTGAGATAGGGTGTTTTATTTTTGAGATAGGACCTGGCTTAGTGCCCAGGCTGGCACGGACCGTGACCCTTCTGTTCGTGGTTACCAGATAGCGTGGCGTGAACATGTGCGTAACGCAATGTAGTCTCGCAGAACTTTGCGCCCAGGCTGATGTAGAACTATGATACTCCTGATTTCTGCCTCCTGGGTAGCCAGGATTGCAGGCATTGACCGTCATGCCTTGTCTAGAAAGGTTTATCTTTAAAGACAAATTGCAGTAATAAATGAAGCTTAATGGCAAAATGGTAACTCCAAATGAAATAACAGACAAAGGTCTGACAGATGCTGACAGACAAAAAAGGCAGAGAGTCATTCTATGAATCTCGATGGAATACACAGTACCACCACCATCCATGATGAGGTCTTGCTCGAGAAAAAGAATCAAAGTTGTAAGCAATTAACTAGATTTAAGTCCCAGGTTACAGGAGTTGCAGAACTCTTAAATAGTACCACAAGGATACAATCGGCAGCATCCAGAGAGTGTGACGCTATTGCGCAATTCTCCAGTTTTTTTGTTTTGTTTTGTTTGTGGCATTGGGGCCTAAACTCGGGACCTTCACCTTGAGTCACTCCACCAGCCCAATTTTTTGTGATGGGGTTTTTTGAGATGGGGTTTCAGGAACTATTTGACTTCGAACTGTGATCCTTTTGGGAACTGCCTCCTGAGTAGCTAGGATTACAGGCGTGAGCCATTGGGGTCTGTCATGTTCAGTTTCTTTAGCACATAAATTGTTAGGGAAAAAGACAGATGATAAGATATTTACACATTAAAAGGTACTTTAATAGATTGTTCAGCCAACTGCAGCCAAAGGATCTTGTTTTATGCTGTTTGAAACAAAGTAAAATAAAGAAAATTGTGAGAAAATTCTGGGAAATTTGAACACTGAGTGGACATGTGATGATATTAAAAACTTCTTGTAAATTGTTTTCAAAACTATCTTAGAAGGTAGTGGCATTGTCGCCATTTTTGACTCATTATTGTTTAGAGATACATTCTGAAATGCTCGGTGGTGAAATGACATCATGTCTAGGACTGGCTTCAAAATCTATTGGTGGAGGATGCGGGTAGAGCCCTTGCCTAACAAGTTTGAAGCCCTGAGTTCAATCCCCAGTACTTCCCAAAAAGAAAATCCGTTGGTGGTGGGCACAGGAAATGGCAGGAATAAAGAAGAAATTTGGTCATACACAAAAAACTTAGGAGCTGAGAACTAGTACAGAGAAGCTCATTACATATATTTATTTATTATATATATAGATATTCTGGAGAATATATACAATATATTTATTTATTATATATATAGATATTCTGGAGAATATATGTATATATTCTCCAGAATAGAATATAAAAACTAAAAAAATCAAGAAATGAAACTTACATTACTATGTTGAGAAAGGCTTGTCTGAACAATTAATTCAACAGCTGGGAACGGAACAGACATGCTCCTCTCCTTAGTGTTCAGATGCACAACGTGGTTTCCGAGCTGCAGGTAAGGCATAGCGTCAGGCAGCTCCCAAATCGCTGTGAGGAAAACGTCATCCTCCTTACCCTGTAGTAGAACCCACAGAGATGTGAGCGCTCAGTGATTTTTATTTGAACTCTTTTAAAGACACAGAGAAAAGGACTACACAGTGATACATCCGTCATCCAGTTTAACAAATCTTAAGCCTTCATCTTATCCCGTGCTGATATAATTCCTTTTTCTACTGACCGTATTCACAAACCTGAATGTGATGTTAGTCTCAGAAGTTCAAATAGCTCTACATATGCACACAAATATGTTATATGCCGTATATATGTATAATGATACTGCTGTCAGGCTTTTAGCCATTTTATAAATGTTATCAAACTCCATGGCTTCTTCCGTTTGCTTATTTCACTAGTATGATGTTTTTAGATTTACACAAATTATTACATGGGACTCTAGTTCATTTATTTTTAACAGTTTTATACCTTAAGATGAGTATTCTACAGTTTTTAAAATTCACTTGCAACCTGGATGTTGAGATTGTTGCCAGTTTTTCACTGCTGATCTTTATGGACAAGTGCAATGCTTTCTAGAGAGTATGACCAGAGTAAAATTATGGAATTACAAGATATGCATATCATCAACTTTACTAGATACTGTCCACTGGATCTTCCAGGTAGAATTATCCATGTCCACTCTCACCAGAGTAGATGAGAGTTCCCCTTTCTTTACATTCATGTACATTTGTACAAATAACTCATTTAAATCTCAAAAATATTAACTGAAATAAGCAAGCAGAAGAAGAATCCATGCAGGCAGACAGCACTCTACAATGGCTAAAAGGCTGAAGCAATGTCATATATATGTATATGACACATGTGTGTTCTGTGTATTCATGTGTACATGAACAAGTAAACTTACATGCTGGAATTATTTGATTTAGTCTTTTTTTTTTTTGGCCTGTCTGATAGTTTGAAATGGGACAGTCTAAACTAATTAAAATATGTTAATTACATCAATTGTACTTCCCTAATTGCTAGTGAGTTGAACATTTTTCATGTGTTGGTGAGACAGCCAGCTGGGTTTCCTTGTCTGTCCTTTGTCCATTTTCTACTGGATTCTTTGTTTTCTTTCTGGATTTTTGAAATTTCTTTAGATATTTTGTCCCCTAAGTCCCCAATTATTTGAGGCATAGTTGTCTTCTCACAGTCTAGGACTTGTCTTTTCATTTCGTTTTATTTAAACATGCTATTATTGTTTGAATGTAATAATGATACCTTTGCCACAGACCATCTATGAATATGGCATGTATCTTTCCATTTACCCAAGCTTTTTATTATGCCCTAGGCAATTTTTTTCACAAAACTCTTGTATATTTTTTGTTAAATTTATTTTGGGTACCTTACATTTTTATTTGCTATTATAATGCAATCATTTAGTCTATATTTCTGCTTTCTAACTGGTTATTACTGGTGGGATTGTGTTAAGTTTTGATTTTTGAGTTTTGTATTGGAATAAAAGCCAAAATTTTAAGACTTGATCTTTCCAGGTGGAAAAGCAGCTGTGCTAGAGTGGAGAGAATGATGGTGTCAGGGTGAAGTCAGCTGATTTCCAGTCTTAGTTCTAGTACAACTGTAGATAAGTACATATTCTCTTTGGGCTTTATTTTTCCTATTTGTAAAATGAGGACTTTGACTGATTGATGGATAAAGGCCCTTCCCTTAATGAAAACTTTTGATTCCAGGTGTGGCTCTCACACCTGTATTCACTCATATCTGTGTGAATTTAAAGATATAAGTCAGTAGTGTGCATACAGCCTAGACTAGTGTTCACATCATTGTGGGAATAGGCATATTCTTAGATCCAAGCAGCGAGCTTCTGGGTCCCAACATAACATGACATGAAACCCCTTATCTCAGGAAGGCTGGGCTCTGACCTTTGACCTCTCATAATGTGAGTCACCAGAATTGAACCCTGATTTGCTGTGGAAAACTTTCAGGGCAAAAGTAGCAATGGTATTTTGGTTCTTTGTCTCAGGCTCCACTTTCATTTAAATTTTTATCTATTTATCTTATTATATTGTCAGCTCTGTAGAGCTAATTAGGAGATTTAAAAATTCCCCTAATATCCCTTCTATATTTACTATTATCTATTTTAAAAGAAGTTTCTTATATTTCCTTATTCTTTCAGTCCTTAATGAGTACCTATTATGGGCTGGGCAAGAATACGAATATAAATAAGAGAATATTCTGCCCTTACCAACCTGAATCTACAGGTCCTGAATGGAGTACCAGGATAATCAAAGTGAAAAACACTGCAGTAGAACCCACATCAAACAATTTTGATGTGTGAACAGAACCATGGTTTTTTGCGGCAGCATTCCTTAAAAAAGGAATGTCTGTGACAACTGTCTAAGAGGAAGGGCATCCTGGTGAGCAAGTGCAAGATCTTTAAAAAGGAAAATTGTCCTATTGTGCTTCAGAGTGTGTTACTCAGACGTTCCTTTCCATGGTGCCATGTTGGATTGTGCAGATAACAAGGGAAGAGTATATTGAGTCATGGAAGTTTTTCACTCCTTTTCTCTAACTAAAAGGCCATTAGTCATCTTCACCCATGCTGGTATTTCATGATTGCTGTCCTATTCTGGACTTATTTTCTGATCTTAGTTTCCAGAGCAGAATAATCAAGGCAATGAGTCCTTGAGTTCTAGATGACAGAGTGAGATCCACTCAGCCATGATAAATTATTGTAGCCTCCACTTTAAATTTGAAGAAGGCATTTAATATTCTTAGGTGGTTACAGAAAAATAAATTAGCCTATTTTAGTCCTTCTAAAACAGGCCTGAGCAGATTGCATCATTAACCTTAAAATAAACAGAGCAAGTTTGGTGAGAAACAGAAAAAGTGACTTGAGCAAGCCTGGATGTACTGTAGGTTATAAATGACACAGCCTTGTGAGGAGCCAGTCTGGAAAGCCAAATGAAGGCATGAGCTGTGTCAGTGGCAGCAGCCGTGTGTAAATTCAACCTCCAGACGGACCCAGATAGAATCCTGGCCCATCCAGCAGTAAGAGCGCAGTGGACAGGATGCTGGGCCAAGCGTCTGTGCCTTTTGCTTTTTCTTTGACCTGGGCAAAGTTAGCTATGTCACAGGAAGGGTGGTGAATACATGCTATCCTCAGCTGGCTGGCAAGACAGGAGTTAAACGGGCATCATTTGCTGACTCACTGGGATTTCCCCAACGCCACCTATAGCACAAATATGAACATGGCACTGTGAACCTGGATCATTTTGATAGTCCCATTCCGCTCCAAGACAAGGACCAGGTACTGGTGTTTCTCTTCAGATTTGAGGAAAATTAGGCTCTGCAGCCAGTGCTCCTCCTCCTTCCAGTCCTTTCCTTCTGGCAGTGCTTTCAACTCTTGCCCACTTCCAAAGTCCCAGATCTTAACTGTTCCTGAGCACACAGAGGAAAAGACCTGTGAGTACAATAAGGCATAGAAAGCCTTGCTCTTAGCTCAGGGGACATCAGTCCCATTGAGAGGGTTCTACAAACAATTTATCCTGTATTTATTTCTTACTAAGACTGGCAGGTAAGTCTCCCTAACCTTGCTGTGCATAAAATATATTTCAGTGTGCCTTCATTTGTCATAGGCTGATAAAAACAAACAGGGCCAGACAGTCTCTTGAAGTCTGTGACCGTTTGCTTTGGTTTGGATACATGTCTCTCAAACGCCCATGTGTTAACGTCTTGTTCTCCAGCTTGGTGCTATTGGGAGATGGTGGAAGCTTTAGGAAGAGGGGCCTTGTTGGAGGGCCTTAGGTCATACTGGGGTGTCACTGAGTGGGATTGTTGGACTCTGGCCCCTTCCCTGCTGCTAGGGGGTGAGCAGCTTTGCTTCAACATGCACTCCCATCATGAGGTGCTGCCTCACCACAGGCCCAAAATCAACAGGCCCAACTGACCATAGGCTGAAACCTCCAAATCTGTGAGTTAATATAAACCTTTCCTCCTTACAAGCTGATTGTCTCAGGTATTTGTTACAAAACACAAAGATGCCAGACACAGTTTGCTTTGAAACCCTCAGACTCTCCTTACTAAATTGTTTGTTTTCTTTTTTAGTTAGGGTTTCACTGTGTAGCCCAGGCTGGACTTGAACTTACTATGTAGCCAAGGTTGGCCTCAAACTCAAGATCCTCCTACCTCTCCCTCCCAAGTGCTGGGATTACAGGCATGAGCCACTACTCTGAGTGCTGAGATTTCTTTCTTAAGTGAACCTTTTATGTCTATTCTCCCAGTGCTTTTGGCTTGCTAAGCACCCCCATACAGGAAGGTTAGCTGTCACACTTCCTATGGTGCTGATATGTTTCAGGACTTTAGCTCTTATTGGATAATGACAGGTTTGAGAGAATTTTAACAGGTTAAGAAACTATCAAGCTTGGAGCTGTTTCGTTGGTTTCATGGGGGAGAAGAAAAAGGTGTCAAGTTTCTTTTTTCAATATTTGAAATACATTGTGTCAATACCCAATTCTCAGTGTAAATGTATTTGGTGGTAATTAGGTCATGATGGCGGAGCCCTAAGGAATGAGACTAGTGCCTTTATAAAATGATATTATAGAGCTTCCTCATCCCAGTTCTACCATATGAGGACACAGCCAGAAGCTTCTGCCTATGAACCAGAAAGGGTCCTCACCAAACACCAAATCTTCTGGGACCATGATCTTGGGTTTCCCAGCTTCCAGAATTATGAGAAATCAATGTCTGGTACTCATAAGCCAGTTTGTGGCAGTTTGTGATAATAACCCAAATGGACTGAGACAGTTCCTGATTACCATTAATTTCCTTCACTTAATTTAAATGATCTGGATGAAGGGACCTGAAGGGATGGCAATCAATATAGTGGGTGATCGCCTATTTCTAGCTCATTGCTGTGTAGAGAAGTGTCCTTTCACATAGGCTTTTCCAGTTGTCACCCTAAGTTTAGAATCCAGTGGGTTCCTTTCCCAGCATGCTTCTTCCTCTCTTTAACCCTAACATCCCATTTCTTATCCCTCAGTCCCAGTCCCGCTGGACACCCAAGGTTTCCACCATGCTGCTTTCCTTCCCCTGTGCTAGGACCTCCATCAGGAACACATATGCCCTATCATCTCTCCTGTTCACTACCAACATTAACCACTGATTAAATACCCCCCAAACGCCTCATATGCAGTAATTTCTCTGGATATAAAGTGAATAGTTCCTGCCCTCAAGGATTGTATGGTCTTTCAGGAACATAGTCATACAAAGGAAGTTGTCATGTTTTCTTTCATTCCTGGTTAAGACAGACCACAGTCCCATAGCCCAGCTCTCCTCCTACCTTGGGATTTTGGCTGTCCCAAGTTAGGCAGAGAGCAGGGAGAGGTACTGTGTTCAGTTCCTCCTAGGTGGTGGTGAGGGTGAGATTATGAGAGGGGACTGATCATTGTGGCCAGAGCTGCAATGAAATCAGAGAATCCTACTTCTGGTGGTCTTGAACCTACAATGTCTGTCAACTTAACTTATGTAGCTCTGGGAAGGACAAACAGTCAATATTTAAAAGACTCTTACATTATAGGACTAACAATATAAAATGTGACTTGTTTGCTTGAAAATACTACTACTGTCAGCCATATATTAAGTTGCCTAATTGATAAAAAAAATTGTGTACATTGCTCAGAATTTCTAGGATTAGAATTTCTCCTATGAACATGGGGTGCACTTATGGCACAGTAAGGCTAAGTTTTTAAAAAATTGTTAGAGTATATTGATTGTACAAGGGGTAGACTGCTTTCTTAAGCATTGCTATAGGAGGGAATAATGCATTCCAGGGTCTTGCACTCCGGTTGCATTTATTTGCGTCTCAGCATTCCTGATTTTCTTTCATGCAGTGTTATCTTCTGCTCACATTTTCAAAAATCAGATTTTCACATCAGGATGCTCATTTGTCCCATCAATTGGTTTGTGAGTCAGCATTTATTTAGTAAATATATCCCTAGAATAAGCTTATTCTATGTAGTGTATGCAGCTGGCCATATCATCTAGGCAAAGCAGCTCCTTTGTAGGAGTTCAGAACAAGATGTGGTAAAAGTCTGCAGCTCTCCAGTTCCTGGAAGGTCTGGCAGAGCCGGCAGCAGAAGAAACATGAAATAAAGTACTTATCCTGGACCTGACATTCTCCCAATTTGGACGTGCCCCATGCCTCCAAGGAGTCTAGACATAGAAACAAGTCCAATATAGAAGTTTAGGCATTCTACATCAAGGTTGGCTGGATATTTTATCTGGTCCTCAAATCTACTGTAAACAAAAATGTTGTAGGAGCTGGGGATGTAGCTGAATGGTATAATGCGTGCTGAGAATGCATGAGGCCCCGAATTTAATGCCTAGCACCACAGTGTGCGTGTGTGGCCATAGCATTAGATCTAATGCCTGTCACTTGGCTAATAGTACCTCAAAGAAGAAAGACAGAATGGACCAGTGCAACACAGACCCTTCCACCAAAGATTAAACAAGATGGTGTATGTGACGGGCTTTGTGAACAGTGACAGTTACTATATAAATGCAATGTAAGTTATTGATTATTTTTCACATCACTGCTCATTAAATATGGCCATTCATATGCCCATTAAATGAGAGACTATCACTGTTCATGGGGACACAGCCCTCTCTCTGACGTATTTCCCCATGCACACTAATTCGTACTCTCCCTCCAACCCAAAAAATGAATGAGTTCCTGGCACATCTCCTCAGAACACTAAAGCAGAAACATTATATTCTGAACATTAGTCTGACCATTGTATGCTCCTGTGGCAAAAAGAAATCCACTTTCATCAATAGAAGCGCAGGTCAGTTCGATATTGAAGCCGTGAGGATCTAAAATATGATATATTTGGAGGCCAGTCTCAAGTTCCCATACCTGTAGAAAAGAACAGCAACAAAATCAAGTAGTTCATAAAGTTCTTATCTAAATTTTTCCATGTTCAAAACAGCCTCCAAATTGGTGCTCTCCACACCTGTCACCTTTCCCAGCCCTGCCCTGACTTTGATTTGATCACAGAAAGTTCTAAAGGATGTGTGCTGTCCTGTCCTGTGGTGTATCTGCTGCAAATTTACGTGACTGAGACTGTGGTCAGTTGTTACTTTCTACAGTTTGGCTCTGGAATGTCCTTCAAACACCCCTGCATTAGAGGTGTGGTCCTCAGCTTGGTGCTATTGGGAGGTGGTGAAACCTTTACAGGTAGGGCCTAGAGGGAGATTTCAGGACACTGGGGGCAGACGCTTGAAGGGGATATTGGGACCTGACCTCTCCTCTCCTCTCTCTCCCTTCCTAACTACCATGAGATGAGCAGCTTGTTTCACCTCACACTCCTGCCATGGTGTACTGTCTCATTAAAGAGTTAATAGCAATGGAACCAACCAACCATGCACGGAAACCTCTAAGTCTGTGAGCCAAAATAAGCCTTTCATCTTTTAAAATTGATTATTTCAGGTATTTTGTTATGGTAATGGAAAACTGATAAACACATTACTGTAGTGTGAGACAAAGTTAACAGCAAGATAGAAATAAACCAAATAAATGTACAACAGAGAACTTAGGGAATGAGGGAAAAGATAAGAGAATGACAGAGCATCAGTAATATCATAAAACACTACATCTGTGAAGGTAGAGGATATAAGGATGTGTATTAAAAGCTGTTGAAAATGGGGGATGGGAGGTAAAGGAGTAAGGGAGAGTGATGGAAGGGGTTGGACCAGAATAAAGTACACTCACAGTGGAGATACACTGAGAAACCCCTTTGAACATCAACTTAAATATTAAGAACGAAATACAGGACTGTAAAATAGGTTCAGTGTGTGTGTATGGAGGGGGACACTAGTGGGAGGAGGAGGGTGAATGAAGGAGATTAGGATGAGGGTATATGGTTGATGGGTTTCATATAGATATATGAAATAGAACAGAGAAACCTCTTGCAATTGCTTTAAGTGGGGTGGAAAGGAGGTTGAGGGGAAAAGAGGATGGCAATTAAATGAATGTACAATATAAGCCTAATCAGAATTGTCACTATGAATTCCCCCTGTACAAAGAAAATATCCTAATAATTTATTTTAATGTAGAACAGAGAAAAAAATCAAACTATATTTATTTCTAAGTGACAGTCATCCAAAATTGTAGCCAGGGGTCATCAATAGAATGTGTGATGAACAGCATATGAGAGGAAAGAGCTCACTAAGTAGTTCTCTGATTAGAAAAACAGGCCAAGAGACAGAGATAGAGAAAGAGGATAGGGCAAGACTCAGAGGAGGCCATCTGTAAATGGGTCAGATTTAATTTAAAAATCCAAAGACATGTCAACATTCATCGTTCTGTCAGGTGTGGTGGTATACATCTGCAATCCCAGGACTCAGTAGGCTGAGGCAGGAGGACTGTGAGTTTGAGGCCAGCCTGGACTACATAAAAACACTCTATCTTCAAAAAAAAAGAATGATCATTCTCTCTCTTTGGAAAAGCCATAAACCTGTAGATTTACCATCTGAATCTCTCCCTCTTTGTGGGTCTGCCAAGTTCAGATGTAAATTTGACAGCAAGTGAGAAACAGAATTGCACTGGCAATACAGAGTGGTTGCCCTTGAGGCATTGGGGCTGGGGTCAAAGGGCACAGAAATGGGAAGGTACACTTCTCCTCCAGGGAACTGAAAGACAGCTGTTGCAGTTGGGGAAGAAGGAGTGTAGAAGAGAGGTAGCAATTGTCTGGGGACCAGTCATGAGCTGGGAAGTGCTCAAGCAGGATTTGAATGAAGTCAGCTTGGCCTGAAGCCCCAAGTTGCTAACCTGTGTGTTTCCAGATACAGATGAGCTCTTTAAGGGGGGGAGAAATGTGGACCACTGCATGAATGAGTCTCAGGGTCACCCATCTTCCATGCCTGAAGTACAATCTGTCTCCACCAATCAGGTATAAAACCCCACCTAGATGTCCCTGCCCCTCTCCTCTCCCAAATAGGGAAAACAGACTTCCCTTCAGAGGTCATTAGTGCACAGAAAGCAGGGCAAGTTTTATTTTAGTTTTTATCTTTTTTTTATTTTTAGGTATTACCAGAAATGAGTGATAGTTAACTGAACTCAGGAGTTGTGGGTAAGGCAAATCTGGGCCAGAATTTGGGGGTATCTGGAGGAACTCTAACCACTAACCCATACAGCTCCTCTTAGAGAGCATGCATGAAATAAAAGAATGGACACCTCCCACCAGCACTGCCAGGTGATTTCAGTGGTCATAATGACAGTCACAATTAGCATGGCCCAGTGCCATGCCTCTCAGCACAGCAGTGACAGGGACAGAGGGATAGTGCATGGAAGTCATGGGTGTTCGTGGCAGACAAACACAGGCTCATATCCCAGTCCTTGTGCTCGCTTTCTGGGCAAGTCACTTATCTCTCTGAGTCTTGGTTTCCTCATCTTTAAAATGGAAGTCTTTATCTGTACACAGGGAACTTTCAAGAGGATTAAATGAGGTAATAGATTTAATGCTTTTAGCACATATCCTGTACCTGGTTAAAGCTAACACCTGTAAATTTCTTTCCCTTCCTTCTTAGCTCTAATCATAGCTCGATTAAAAATTAAATAAAAATACAAGCTAGTTCTCTCTGTCTGCTATATTTCCTTTAAATTTTCTGGTTTGATAGGAAGCACTGGCATTAGTTATCCAATTAAGCATGTAGGTGCCATGTGGTTTGAGCTGGCTTAAATTCTGTTTTCCAGGTATTGATGAAAGCTTAGAAAGAGCTCTAATGCAGCCGGTCATGGTGGTACACAGCTGTAATCCCAGCTATTCAGGAGGCAGAGGTAGTAAGATCACCATCTGAGACTTGCCTAGGCAAAAGTATAAGACTCTATCTAGAAACAAAAACCAAATGACTGCTGGCAGAGTGGCTCAAGTGGTAGAGCACCTACCCTAGCATCCATGAAGCTCTGAGTTCAAACCCCATACTACCAAAGAAAATAAAATTAAAAGAAAAAAGTCATGATTTAAAAAAAAAAACAAAACAAATGACTGGGGCATGGCTCAAGTAGTAGCCTTGTGTTAAATTCCCAGCACTGCCAAAAACAAAAAAAGCTCCAATGTAAGGTGTCATCATATGTACCGGTGCATTTACTTAACCATGAATGATTTACCTGTTAAAATCCTATTTGTTCTACCTTTTCCTGTTGAAAGAGACAGCATGCACTCACCTTAATTATGGACTCAGAGCAGATAGTGAGCACTTGGTGGAAATATTTGTTGTAAAGCATGACATTGATTTCCCGTTCATGAGTGTGAGGAATGTGTTTTGTGTCTTGAACCATCCTGGTCAGAGGATACATGTCCATAACACTCGATCCTGGAATGTAAGTAAGAGTTTCGTAATGCTCAATATTAGAACTTGGGGATTACAAAGGATTTTACCTAACCAGTTGGGTTTGGAAACAGCTGGCCAGTGAGATTAGTAATAGCAATGCCTATGAATTTAATGAGGTAAAATACACTCCCTTTTTTGATCAATACACAAATGTGATTCAGCCAGAGAAAAGCATTCATTTGGGACTTCAGGATTTTTCAAGCATAGGTCATTTTGACCCCCAATTGCCTCGCTTCTGTGGTCCACTTGCCATTCTTTGTTGTGCCCGCTGGATGGCTTTCCATCTGTTGCACAGCAAGGCTGCTGATCAGTGCACAGTGAATGGAAGCTTCCTCCCTTTAGTGATCAAAAAGTGTTGCTACAGAGACCCTTTCAACTAGCAAACAGTAAAGTGCTCTGTGATTAAATGTACTGAATGAGAATGATTCCAAATCAGTGCTAGTGACATCAATGTCAGCAATGCAACATCCTCTGTCAATCATCACAGTGGCCTGGGCCTGAGGTAGAGAGCATTTTTCTAAGTGTACTTGGTTTGGTTTTACACTTGTACTCTTTATACTAACTATAGTACAATATCATTTAACTCTTAAAACCAACTAATTGCGTGCTCTTTTTTTACTGTAATTTCTAGAAATACTGATAAAATCTCAAAGCATTCTGTAGTTCAAAAAAATGAATCTTCTTGCATTGAGCTTCTGAAATTTCTCCAAAAATATCTCAACCATGTAAGTTTTAGCGGGCATTACTAAACACTTTCTTAAAGTGTTTGAATTTTATGATAAAATCTGTTTGTGTGTAAAGAAGAACTGAGCAGGTTCACTTGGTAACATTTCTCAGCTCAAATACCTCGCCAGGGAACTGTGGGAGGCAGGAAACTAGGTAATCAAACCACACTTGGAGCTTCACTGAAGATCCTTGAAAGTGAGACTGGCAGTCACTAACTTAACTCAGAAAAAAGTCAACAAAATTAGATTTGCTTGCAGACAAGTGACAGTTTTCTACTCTTCTGGCTAGTTGTGCTACATCTATGGAACAAGGAAGTACAGAGAATGAATGTGAGTGGGATTCAGGAGAATCCTTTGATCCAATCTTCTGCTATCCTGTTGGGGACCAGGCATGAAACCTGGATTGGGAAATAATAGAGCTCGCACAGCCTTTCCATACTAGGAGCTTGCACAGCCTCTCCTACGATATTTTTCCCAGCACCTGGCATCTTGACTTTTGTTCCTGCATCTCCTTGAAGAATACAACCTGCTGTGTCTGCATAACAGCCCCCTGATGCAAAACTAGATAAAGTACCAGAACTGTTAGGAGACTCCCTGATGCTACATTAATCAATACCTTAGATAAGGTGTCCTGCGTGCCTTGATGATTCCAGAACTGATGTGTTGTAATTAAGCTTCTATAGCCTTAGCAAAATTAGTCCACCAAACCTCACTCCTTTTACCTTGTATCAAAGAATTGTTGAAGCTTGATTTTTACCTGAGTCTTTTCCTTGTACTGACCTATACAATAAACACTCTGGCTCAGGTAAGCAGTCACATTTCCCACCAGGAATGTGTAGCCCTCCCAATCCCACTTTTCTGTTTTATATCTATATGTCTGTGTGTGATCATGTCTCATTGCCCTCTGCTGTTAGTCAGGTTCATGCAGCACCCACACAGGTCGCAGGCACTAGTCAGTTGAACTGTTTGAGGTTTGATTTTGCCATTTACAAAACAGGTGGTTGTATGATAAAATGAAAAGTTAAAAGACTAAGCAAATGGTTGCTGCCTTAGTCAGCATGACAGTATTGGCAGCAACAGCAGTGCCACACTCTACAAAGCACCTCCAGAGGGCAGTGGTGCTGTCACTGTGGCTTACAAGGCTGCCCTCAGGCTATCTCATTTTAACCAAAGCATGAATTCATAACACTTCCTGTGATTCTGCTGTCAAGTTGATGGCTACAGCCAATGTTTGCAGTTTTAGTGGTTAAGCAATACATAGCTCTATTTTTGTAAACAGAAGTACTACCAAAAGTATATAGGATTGTGAAGAAATTTTGATTTTTCTGTTCTTTCTTCTTTTGTCTTGGTATTTTATTTTATTTTTTTATTTATTTTTTTTTTGGTGAAAATAAGTGAATTCAGCTTTTATTTTGGACTCAACTAGGTAAGAAACTTCAGAGTTAGAAAGATCTTAAGCAAAAAATGAGATACTCGCTCCCTGTTTTTTTCTTTGTGAATAGCCCATGAAAAATACTTAAAATATCCTTTATATATATTAAACCTTATCTAGGATATTTTATTTTATTTTTTTTTTCATTTTTCTTTTATTATTCATATGTGCATACAAGGCTTGGTTTATTTCTCCCCCCTGCCCCCACCCCCTCCCTTACCACCCACTCCACCCCCTCCCACTCCCCCCCTCAATACCCAGCAGAAACTATTTAGCCCTTATCTCTAATTTTGTTGTAGAGAGAGTATAAGCAATAATAGGAAGGAACAAGGGGTTTTGCTGGTTGAGAAAAAATTCTTCTTTTGTCTTGGTATTTTAGTCCTCACTTCCTGTAATGATAAATAGGATGAATGCCAAGCCCACTAATCAGGCATGCAAATTGGGGCACCAAGAGACCATTTCAAGTCATGCTAGTTTTAGAGGAGGACAGATAGGTGGAGGGTGCTTACAACTGGATCCATGTTCTGTCTCACAAAATGGAAAATTATTTATTGATCATGAAGTTTTAGTTCACTCCTAATCTAGGAAAAAAGCACACAAAAGTTAAAAATAATTGTATTCAGCACCAGAAACAGCACCAGTCATTCCTCTGACTTAATTAATCTCACAGGAACTGGTAGCAGTGGGTCAGTGGGATATGCTTAGGGTATGCAACTCTGGCTTAGTGTTCCAGAAAGAAGAATTAATATTAGTACCATTCGTTTTTCTTCTAAACCTAAGGAACAGCATTGACCCTAAATGACTAACAGGGTACCTTGTCTCTTAGTGTGTCTGTCAAAGTAACCACAAAAGTTAAAAATGGTGGCAACCAATCTGTTGGAATCAATGGTCAGGATCTGTCATCCTGGATCTGCTCCTTTTTCTCTGTTGCTCTTTGTCTAGAAGCAAAGGCAGCTGGGAGGGTTTGCACCCTTCTTCCCCTTCTCACCTCCCCACAATCTGTGAGGCCAAGTTGCCTTACCACAGAAGAGGAGCTCATTCTGATGCATGCTGGAGCCAACACTCTAAGACAGGACCATACTCCTGCTCTTAAAAGTCAATTCATACCCCTCAACAAGCACCAGGTTAAATCCATCTTTTCTGCTCCACCAAGACTGTGCATTTCCAGGTTCAAGACCGCAAAGAACTGGACTGGTATTTTCAGAAAAGTGCAGTTGCATGGTTCATCCACTTACCTACAGAACAAGGGGAAAGAGTTGAATTGAAATAAATATCGTGGTTTGTAATTTTCCCTTCTCATTTTTTCCCACAGTAAGTGCTCAAGTGTGCTTTAAAAAAAAAAAGTTAAAACTCAAGATATGAGATTTATTTTCTGTTGTTTGGGCACACATACCTGTGATAAGCATGCCATGATTGGCATCATATATCATAGAATAAATCTGCATGTCTCCTGGTCCTCCCTGGCTGTCATGGAAGACTTGTAGCAGGGAAAGAGTCTGTATATCCCACACTCTGAAAACCTGGGAGCATAAAACAGAGTTCACCACTGTTTATACTTTATCACTGAAGAGTTGTAGGCAAAGCATTTTTAGAGTCTGAAATGTGATCTTATACACTTGCAACAAAGTGTGATTTATGCCGTGAGCTCATGACTATACAATTGCTAAGCTTCCGTTGGATTCTTCGTCTGCTTACTGGTCATTAGTATCAGAGAAAATTAGCAGCAGTGATTAAAATTTGCTTAAGGGTAAAGCTTTAGGAAGTGGGCAACAGAACTAAACAGAACTTTTTCTAAGGAAGAAATCCAAATGGCCAAAAAAACACATGAAAAAATGTTCACCATCCCTGGCCATAAAGGAAATGGAAAACAAAACCACACTAAGATTCCACCTCACCCCTATTAGAATGGCTATCATGAAAAACACCACCACCAACAGGTGTTGGCAAGGATGTGGGGACAAAGGAACCCTCATACACTGCTGGTGGGAATGCAAGCTAGTGCAACCACTCTGGAAAACAATATGGAGGCTTTTTAAAACACTAAACATAGATCTGTCATATGATCCAGTGACCCCACTCTTAGGGATATACCCAAAGGAATGCGACTCAAGTTATTACAAAAGCACCTGCACATCCATGTTTACTGCGGCACTATTCACAGTAGCCAAGCTATGGAAACAGCCAAGATGCCCCAGTACTGATGAATGGATTTTTAAAATGTGGTATTTATACACAATGGAATTTTATTCAGCCACATAGAAGAATGAAATTTTGTCATTTGCAAGTAAATGGATGGAACTAGAGAACATCATCTTAAGGGAAGTTAGCCAGACTCAGAAGGCCAAAAATCATGTACTCCCTCATATGCAGATTATAGACCCAAAATAAATGCAGTAATATTTTAGACATGGGTCATACACTAAGGGGAGAACATGCATGGGAGAAATAGGGAAAGGGAAGGAAACCTAAAACTTGAACATGGTTGATGTGCTCCCTGTTGAGGAGTGAATAAAGTAATCTTAAATTGGCAGAGGACACTATGGGAAGGGGACAAGGAAGTAGGGAAGAGGTCTGGTAGAAATGAACCAATGTGCGTTGTAATACACAAGTGCATGGAAGCAGTGCTAGGAATCTCTCTGCATAGTTATCTTTATCCCAAACTAGCAAAAATGCTATGTCTTTCGTATTATCACTTATGTTTTCTCTTCAACAAAATTGGAGAAGAGGGTGGAACAGGTTCTGCACAGAAGGGAGTAGGGGGAGGTGGTACACAAACAATGTATATACATGTAAGTAAATGTAAAAACAATAAAATAAAAGGAGAAAAGGAAAAAAAAAGGGTAAAGCTTTAGGACCTGGATTTTTCCATCATCCTAGAAGGGAAGGGGAAACAATATTTATTAATATTTAAGAATCTGGCAGAATAATAAAAGATTGATTATGACTTACAGTTAGAAGTCATATTTCTCTTTTGACTATGGATGAGAAAATAGGGAAACTTTTAATAAGTTTAGGTGTGAGGTTTCAAATCATTCTTTTATGATTTATGAAGATGGGAACAACTCCTAGGAATGTCCCTCTCCCCTTACTCAGAGAGATAAGAATTATAGAAATGAATTTTTAAGGATAGTATAAATATAGTAAGAATGCAGGGAAGTTGGTTATTAGCATCTTGAGGGGTAAAGAGAGCTATGTAATTATTCAAATAGAACTTGAGTTGGTAATAGACACTAAAAAGAACAATAATATACAAATTCAGCACAACTAAGTCAAGTTTACACTCTGTCACCTGAAATAACTGATCTTGGTCTTCTTTATTATTCTGGCTTTTTGTTTTGTTTTGTTTTTTGCAAGTTACAATGTGATTGAACTTCCCACTCTTGGTAGGAATGTAAATTAGTACAGCCACTATGGAAATTAGTATGGAAGTTCCTAAAAACTCTAAAAATAGATATACCATATTTTTTTGCTATATCACTCCTGGGTATATACCCAAAGAAAATGAAGTCAGCATCCAATAGAGATACCATATTTATCATGACACTATTCACAATAGCCAAGCTGTAGAATCAGCCAACTTGACTATAAACAGATTTGAATGAATAAAAATGTATGATATATGTTAGTCACACTTTTCATTGTGACAAAATACCTGAGTAAAGCAACTTAAGGAAGTAAATATTTATATTGATTTCAGTCCATGTTCATCTGGCTTCAATGTTTCTAGACTGTGGTAAGGCAGAACATCATGGTGGAAGGGTAGGTGGAGAAAAACTGTTCACTCATGGCAGCCAGGAAGTAGAGAGAAGTATAGGTAGGGGCCAGGGCAAGAGACAGCTCCAATAATGCATCCCCAATGAGCTACTTCTTCCAGTGAGGCTCCACCTCCTAAAGTTTCCAACACATCCCAAAATAGTGCCATCAGCAGGAGACCTAGTCTTAATGCATGAACTTATGGGGACTATTTCATATTCGAACCATACAGTATATAAGCACAATGGAGTAAAATGAAATCATGTCATATGAAGGAAAATGTTAAGCAAAATTAGCCAGACACAGAAAGGTAAGTATTGTGTTGTCTTTCACATGTGGAAATTAAAAAAAAAAAAAGACTACCTGAAAATAGAATAAAGATTATGAGGGAATGGAAAAGGGTGGGGGGAAAAGGGAAGGGCAAGAGAAAGTAGGAAAGAGGGGGATACAGTTAAAGCATGGTGTAGGCAGGTAGGAAAAATCACAATGAAACCATTTTGTATAATTAATAGGATTAAATAAATATTTAAACAAAATTTTTAAAAGCATACTTTAATTTCAGAAGAATGTAGAGGAAGAGAGCCTTAGGAATGTAAGAATTAGAAAGAATTTCCTAGAAAAGCACCAAAACCATGAGCCATGAAGGACCGATGAATTTAACTAATTTAAATTAAAAATCTTTATTCAATGAAAGCAACAATCACAAAGACACAAAGGTTTTAAAAATCCCTCAAATGTTTATCAGCATGCCAGATAAGTAATGTGACACAAACATACAAAAGAACCCCACACAGCAGGTGAAATAAACGAAGCAGAGTCTGGGCTTTTAGCTCAGAGGTAGAGCATTTGCCTAGCATGCATGAGCCCTTGGATTTGATCCACAGCACCAAAAAGAAATAAATAATAAATCAATAAACTGCCATATTAAGCTATATGTAATCACATGGATCAATTTCAAAATGTAGTATGGATGAGGAAAAAAATGAAATTTCAGTAGGTCATATTCACCAAAATATTTATAGTATCAATTTTATATAAAGCATGTAAAATCAAAATATATTAGGGACATTAACCCATGTTCTAGAGGTATAAAACATTGTATGCTTATTTATAATTAACAAAAACACAACAAAAATTCATCTCCTTTAGACAACATCCATTGATCAACTGTCTAATTTAGATCTTCTTCCTCCTGATGCTGTAAAACCTGTTTAAATTAACAGCAATTAGGGAGAGATCCAAGATGGTGACTATGGAACAGAAGCAGATAGCCTGAGCTCCGACTCCAAAACCTTGCTGAATTGCTGGAGTCACACTTGGCAGAAGTAAAACACCAACCACAATCTAACCTTTGACACCTGAACTCCTAGCCCTGGAAAGCTTCCCCACAACACATTATTCTGAGAAAACTTGAGGGTTGCCACTACCACCACAGCTGCTGCTGCTGGCTTCAAACCTGCATGCAAGACATTCAACAGACCAAACTGGTGAGCACCATGTGTCATGCAGAACTCCCCCAGCCCTCCATAAGCCAGCACAGCCCCTGGGCAGACTGACTCCCCCCCAAGAAAAACTAAACAGTAAACAGCAAACTGTAATCTAGTACAACAGCAGAGAGGGCAGGAATCTGAAAGTGCACCAGAGAAGCAGGGGAAGAACAAGGATCTAATCTTGGTGTGAACTATCAGTAAACAAATGCTGGAAATGACCCAAGCCTTGTATGCACATATGAATAATAAAACAATAAAAAAAAATGCTGGAGAGGCAGGAAGGCTGAGAACAGGTGGGTGATAAGCCACCCCCAAAGCAGGGCAGGTAGCAGATCACAGAGCTTATCTCCTGAGCCAGCAAGCAGCACCCAAAGCCAAACTGCCCTACAAAATTGAAAAACAAATACAGAACCACCATAACACACTGACAGCAGGGAGAGGCTGATAGAACACTGACCCTGCCACAGAGAAAAGGGGTGGGGCAAAGATATAAGCCCCCAGCCTGGAAATCCCAGTAAACAAGCACAGCAAAAAGCTACCTCCAAAGCAGGGCAACTAGTGGACTACAGAGCTAATATCCTGAACCTGAGGGCAGCATTCAAACTTAAACAGCCACACTTTGCTGGGAGAGAAGCTGACCAAACAGCTGCAGCTGAAGGGTAACACAGCTATCAGCTGAGGATATCAATATCACGAACCACCCTGCATGATCTGGCAAACCAACCTCACCTCACAATTTCAATTCTACTGGTAGACAGAAGAACAAAGCACGACTCACAAGCCAATCACCTGGTGAGACCATGTCAGAGCTTCTGTTTATATGCTAATACCAGGAATGGATACCTGAGGAGGAACTCCAGAACTTAAACTAAGACTGACATTCTATTGTTCCTGAACCTGGTGTTTTTCCTTTTTTTATTTTGTTTAGTTTTTGTTTGCTTTTATTTGTTTGTTCATTTTTTCCTGTTGATTTCTTTGGGTTTTTTTCCTTTGTTTTGTTATTGTGGGTTTTCTATTTTTATTCCTATTATCTTTTTTCTTTCTCTTTCTATACTATTAGCTTTACCATCATCATCTTCTCATCCCTACTCTCATCCCCTTCACCCTCTCTTCTCCTCCTGTGCTAAAATCCATTGCTCCCCTCCCCAACAACTCGTTCTGCCCCTTCTCACCCACTCTCTTCCCATGCCTTCACCTTCCCCACCCATCTTCCCCACCCATCTTCCCCAACCTGTCACCAGACTACCCCTCACTCCTACACACTCACCACCTGCTGA